GGAGCGCTTTTTACAGCTGTGAAATCTGCCCGGGTGCTGCTCCAAGGGGCCAGGAAGCTCTGTTTGTACAGATGGCCCCATGTAGATGGCAGTATCTGGCCTCCGCGGGAGGAGAGGGTAGAACGTCCGTGATTAGAGCACTGTTTGTTCTTCCAATGACAAGCACAATTACCCATTCTGTCTAAATAACATTTGGCTTTCCTTAAAGCCATTTGTTCCCATTTGTAAAGGATGAAATGAAAACATCTCCAAAGTGTTTATTTCGCGCAAAGGCCCAGGCTCAGTCCACAATTTCCCAAGCTGACCAGGGACCAAATTGGCCAGGCTGAATTAAATTAGCCACCACCTATGCTCCGTTAACAGTGCTAGTTTTGGAGCTACGTGTGGGAATTTTTTGCCACCTAGTCAAGAGACTTATTTTAGGGGTAGTTGCCCAAAAAAGGACAAAGACTAACGACTCCAGTCTCAGAGGTTGAGCACAGCACGGTCACAGCAAACATTCCTCTGTGTGGAATTAGCCCAAGCATAAATGTTACAGAAATTGTGTTTCCATGGATCATCAATACCACATGTCTGGGGCAGAGAAGGCATGCCGCCTCCCCTACCTGGTCCTTGCACGATGGGCTAAATGCACGTTCTTGTTTCAACCACGGCCCTCCTAGCCCAGCCAGCCGCAGCCCAGCCAGGCCTATGTGGCATGCTATTTGTTTTCCTCTTCCTTCTTCATGAATTTGCAGTCGTTTTGCACAAACATTGTGGCCTTTTTGCAATCTATGATGAAAAGAGCTTCATTCTGAAGTTTTCATTTGTCTGCATTGTGGGCTACGCATCTGAGCCAAACTGCAGATCTGTAGGTGCGGGCTTGTTTTTTTCTCTTTAATTGTGCAGATCACTGGGGCTCTCACAGCTGTAATTTGCCTTTCATCCACTTCAGTGACGGCCCAAAGAAAACACAAAACAAATCCAACCCGAGAAAAAGGAGGGGAGAGGGGAACACCAGCTGATGATCTTACAATCCGCAGGGAAAAGAGTCGCCTTATACAAATAAATGAGGAGCTAGGAATAGTGCAGGATTTAATTAAGCCTGACAGAAGCCAGGTGCACCGAGGTCAGACACAACCAGAAACCTGCACCCTTAGGAGTCATGAGGCCATAAGCCTCCGTCAGGTTGCATTTGCACTGACCGCCTGGAAGATATCTATTTGGCCCCAAACGCAAGCACTGGAGAGATACAAGATTGGGGAAACTGCCAAGTGTCAAAACCTCATTGAGCCTGGTATGGAACAACGGAGAGTCTATGTGCTTCAGCACAACCAACAGAAGTCATTCTTGCCCCACGTCCAGTGGGCAGCAGACCCAGCATCTCTCTCTCAAGTCAAGTAATTGGGCTTGCATTCTTCTGCCATTGACTCCTGAAAGTCCCAAAAACTAAACTCAGGTCCCGTGGACACTGGACCAAGAAATAGAAAAGAAACAGTTGAAGGGTCACCAATAGGAGTACCGGAGGTGGGACTGGACTTTGTATGGGAAACACCTTTTCTTGGAGGCTCGTTGCCAGAGTTGCTCTTGATTCTGAAATTTGTGTGGGGGAACCTTCAGGAAAGCAACTGGTTGAACTGCTTCCTTTTGTTTTTAAATTCACAAATAATACATGGGTATATTCCCTCAAAGTGTAATACTAAAGAAAAGGCAAAAGTCCACCTCATTGTTGACCAACCCTGTTCTCCTCCCCAGAGGTCACCAGGAGGAAGGGTTTGGGGAATGCATCTTCAGGCCTTGTTTCCTTTCTTCCACAGACATCATATTCCACTGTTCACGTTGAATTATGTGGTTTGGCTCACCTGGGGTTTGGTTTGTTTTATATTAACGGTATCATCGTGTTTGTCACTTTGTTGGACACCTTACTCTGCATTTGACAACATCTAGAGGACACTTTGGTGCATACCAATACATTTATGCCATCCTTTTTAGCTATAGCTTGTCTAGAATCCCATATTGTACTGATTTTCAGTTGATTGTGAACCGCTCTCCTACCAGGGGGCATTCCACCAGTTGTGTCTTGTTTGGTTCTTGCTAACATTTGTAAATAATACTGTAACGAACATCCTTGCAGTTGCCTCTTTCAGCTCACGTTCCTCTAGGGTAGTTTCTGGCTCAAGTGTGTGCCTGTTTTCATTTTAACAGATGCTACAAATGGCTGAGTTTACCTCTCAAAATGAGCCTGTCCCCATTTGGGAGGGTGACAGGAATTACTGGACATCCTGGATTTAGATCCCCTGTGACATTTGCACAAGCCACATAATGTCTCTGAGTCTTTCTAGTACCCAAGTAGGCATGGCGCTTGCAAGAGAAGATACGGGCAGCTTTCTCTAAAGGGACTTTTAAACCTAGGGAGTGTTTCTCCAGGACTTTTTAACTGCCAACTGGTAGAGAATATGGCCTGACTGTAAGTGGCAGCTCACCAGAGCTGCGGCAGCTGTGGCCCGGGAGCTAATGCTATCCCTGGGTTCAGCAGGCAAAGGCCTGTTCTCCATGATTAATGAGTTCCACTTGGTTTCTTCAAAGAGTGACTGTGCTGTGCCTTGCTGTTATTTATTTATGTTTTCTTCTAAAAAATTCATGTAAAAAACATCCTTTAAGGTCAGTGTGCAGCATTGTGCTGCAGACTGAACGATTCCAGCAGCCACAGGTAGACCTGTGTGCCAAGAGAAAGTCTCAAATCCTTGGAACCGTGGGACCCATGCCCCTGCACTGGCTCTGGGGAGGAGCAGACCTTCTGGGTTGAAAGGAGGCATCTGGACGCCTTCCAAGGAGGTTCAGGGCTACTCCACTGGAGGAAAGGCATCAGGCAGCAAGGTTGTTTTCTAGTGGGATGTTTATAGTGGGCAAAGCTTCCAGGCTCACATGACTCTGGCAAGGAATGGCAGGGTAGGAGAAGCCAAGAGACCGATGGGCCTGAAACACCATTTCTAACAAGAGCACTGTTTTCCAATGTGTGCTGAGACAAAAATGTGATACTAATGTGACTTTGACACTGAGCACAATGCGTAGTATCTACAACCATATACAAGGGGGGGCCAAAAAGTTCATAGAAAAAGGAATTAAAAGATGTTTGTTTTGGTGCAAAAAAAATCTGAAACCCATGCAGTTTTTTTGCTTTTTCTTTTTAAGATTTATTTATTTGTTTGAAAGTCAGAGAGGGAGAGACAGAGACAGAGAGAGAGAGTGATCTTCCATTCACTGGTTCATTCCCCAAGTGGCAGCAATGACCAGGGCAGGGGCAGGCTGAAACCAAGAGCCAGAAGCAACTTCCAGGTCTCCCACAAGGGTGGCAGTGCCCAAGCACTTGGGCCGTCTTCCACTATTTTTCCAAGGTCATTAGCAGGGAGCTGGATTGAAGTGGAGCATCCAGGACTTGAACCAGCACCCATATGGGATGCTGGCATCACAGGCAGTGGCTTTATCCACTATGCCACAACACCAACCCCACTTATATATGCTTTGTGTGCTTCATCTGACCAGCCCAAAAATCGAGCTGATGCCTCTTGGACATGAAGCCAGAGTTTATCTCAGGAAAGAAACCAGCGTGAGTTTGCAGTCTAAGTGAATTAGAGATAAATCACACACACACACACACACACACACACACATATCCCGCATTATTTTGGCTTCTTCATGTAATTGTGCAAAATTGAACATGTTTAATATTATTAACTAACATTCCCAAAAGCAAAGGCTCGGATACAGACCTGAAATGATAGTATATCAGGCCTTGGCTTCCAACAACAGTAGTTTCTTTCTCTGGCCCCAGGACTCATTATCAGGATGCCCAGACTAGAATTTTCTACAACTTGTTAGGGAGCAGCCAGCCCTAGTAATGATGAGAGTGTGGCAGGATCTTCGAGCCAGAGGTGGTCTTGACCAAAGTCCTATTCTCAGCTGGCCTGCTGGGTTTTGAGGTTTCATTTTAGCACTGCTAAAAAAACCCTTTTTGTCCCTTAGTGTTTCCTTACTGCCACCAAAGGCATGGAAGAAGGTGTATAAGGATTTGGGAGCTGAGGGTGGGCCTCCCCATTGCTTCTGTAGAGCAGTTCCAACAGCTGGTATAGAGGGAGAAAAGATAGTCATTAGGACCTAATTAGGGGCCAACATGGGACATGTCAACAAGGCCCTAGAAACGTCCCATCAGCCTCAGCCAAATGTGTACAAGAGTGTGAGCCCAGGAGTGTTCATGGGAAGCTCTGGGCCCACAAGTCATCCCTTTCTGCCTCTGTAGCTCCTAACAGGGCCACTGTCTCTACCCATCTGCCTTTGTGGCAGGTGCAACTCACGTTCAACCTCCAGCATCTCTTTTCTATACTGTCCCTTTTTCTTGGCGGCCCTGTTTCTTATCCTGCTGTCCTTATACTTTCTCTGTCCTACCTCTACCAAAACCTTCTCCAAGAAAAGCCTGGGCAAGATTCCTTCACATAAATGCTTACTTGGTTACTTCCTCCTTGTATTTGCATTTTTACAGAAAACCGAACCTGAAGTCAGAGGAACTTTTCTGTTAGTATTAAGGTCCTCATCTCTTAAGAGGACAGAGAGAGGTAACTTTCTGGTACCTGTGGTCAGAGGAAGAACCCAGCCTTTAACAATAGTGAGTTCTCTTAGTGACATACATATTTACTTTTTCAATGACCTATAAGATGGGGGAGGCAGTCTTTAAGGAGACATAATTTGTTTGCATTGGAAGTGGATGCAGTTTTGCTTCTTCAACTCCATCCTCTCTCATGACCAGGGTATCCAACTACTGCACCTGGGCAGTTTCTAGGGCACAATTCTTTAAAAAAAATATTTATTTATTTGAAAGACAAGTTACAGAGACAGAGACACTCCCCAGATTGCTGCAATGGCTGGGGCTAGAAGAGGCCAAAGCCAGGAGCCAGGAGCTCCTTCCAGGTCTCCCACATGGTGCAGGGGCCCAAAGAAGTGGGCCATTCCCTGCTGCTTTCCCCAGGCACATTGTCATGGAGCTGGATCAGAAGGCAGAAGCTGGAACCCATGAGGGATGCTGGCACTGCAAATGGCAGTTCCACCTGCTGTGCCACAGCACCGGTCCCTAGTGCACACCTCTTGAATACTGGGAGAACAAGAAGGGGAATTGCAAGAGAGGAGAAATGTCAAAGTCTGCTGGGAAAAAGCTCCCTGAAATACAAAGATACAAGACTTTCCTAACAACTCAGTCCAAAATAAGGGAGGAGAGAGGGGAAAAAAAGTATTTTTTCACTGCAATTTTCTGGTTTGTTTTTGTTTTTGTTTTTTTCTCATCCTCCTGCTTTAAGAGATGATAGCAGGGCCAGTGCTGTGGCACAGCGGGTTAAAGCCGGCACTGCAAGAACCATATGGGCACTGGTTCTAGTTCCAGCTGCTCCACTTCCAATCCAGCTCTCTGCTATGGCCTGGGAAAGCAGCAGAAGATGCCCTAAGTCCTTGGGCCCCTGTACCCACGTGGGAGACCTGGAAGAAGCTCCTGGCTCCTGGCTTTGGACTGGCTCAGCTCCGGCCATGGTGACCATTTGAGGAGTGAATCAGCGGATGTAAAGACCTCTCCCTGTCTCTACCTCGCTCTGTAACTGTCTTTTGAATAAATAAAAATAGATTTTTTTTAAAAAAAAAAGAGAGAGGATAACAAACAAAAGAGGTGTAAAGAGTCAATTTCTTATTGACATATCTGCCTATGGGGTGGAGAATAGTCCCAATTTTTTCAAGATTTAGGGTAAAAAAGAGACTTCAGAATTTTCTCCCTTCAGGTTTGCCGAGTTTTCCAGCCTGCACAACATGAAGCTTATCATGATAGCCAAACACTTCTCTGGCTGCAACATTTCTCATTTTCATCACATTGTTGGGGCTCAGTGAAGTCATCCTGGCTTTAGCTGCTTGTCCTCCTCCACACTTGAACATATTACTCGAAGCCTCCTTGGTTGCAGTCAGTATTTCTAGTCCTTTTTAGTGTTTCTTCTTAGTTGTTCAACTAAAAATAATAGAAAAGAATGGCTGAATGCAAGATCAAGCTCTTCTAATAATTTCACACCAAGCCCTCTTTTCTTTTCTCACTTGAAAACTTTGGAAAAACTCCAAAAAAATGTTTCTTTTCCCTGACCTTGCATAGACTTGGCTACAGCCTAAAAGATTAAACACTCGTAATTCAGGATCTTCTACTTCTAAACTCAGCCAAACCCAGGGAGGAATGGTGCTCAAGGAATCTGACTTTCTCACAAAGATTTGCAAGGTTTCAATCAACATCTGAACTTTTGGCTCTTTGTTGCAACTGGGGATGAACAAACTGAGTTAGGGAAATTAAGTGTAGTGGGGAGGGGAAAATTCAGTCAATACTAAATGCGAGGCTGAATTAAGCATTTTGGAGCTCCAGGAAATATCCCCTTAGTCCTTCACCATTTCTCATTTGTTGAGCTCTTGGTGCTGTGTTTCCTGCTAGGATTAAAACAGAACAGCTGAACGAATTTTCTGAGGCCTACTCCCATCTGAACAACTCAGTGATTTAGCTGGCTCAAGGGGTCCAGGAACTTGGAATCGAATTCAATAAAGGCTCTGAGTGTCCAAGAGCTTGTCCCAAATAAATCACAGGCCCCAAACAAGGTGTTGAAAACCTGTAGCTTACTCTCAGTTCCACTGCTGATTTGGTCAATAACTTATTGCATTTTTCTACCCTCCCTCCTTAACTTCTTCATGTTTCAAGTAGAAGTTGATGACACCAGTACCTGTGAAAAATGAATGATTTCAATGCTTTCCTGTGTGTCAAGGGCTCTTCGATCCTTGCTTTCAAGTCCAGTTGCGGTTTGGTAGGTTAAGTGTATGTGCTAAGACTGGCCTTCCATGAGGCTTATCAGCCCAGCCATAGTGAAGGTGGAGACCTGGGACAAGGGACACATTTTCCCCACATGTCAGTTCCTAGATTGCCAATTCAAAGGACTGGGTCCTAGCCGAATTGGGCAAGAATCAACAACCTAGAACTGCATGGCTGCCCTCCACCTGTCCTTCTCGTTGCATTCTTTCTGCATACCCCTCAAGCTGCATCACTTCAGGGTGCAAGCATTCCCAGGAGAGGACAGATGTGGGGTGAAAATGGAAGGTGGACCATGTGGGGAGACAGAGCCCTTGTGCTGGAAGTCACTTCATCAGCCTTGACCAGCAACCATCTTCAGAGAGCCCTCATCAGGAAGGCCCTTGGACCGTCCTCATTTTCTTCCCCTAAACACCATGGAACTCTATCTAAAGCAAGGAGAGCATGAGCAGGGACTTTCCGGGGAAGCACACGGAGACTCAGGGAGGGCAAAGACTGGCCGACGCCCCACCTGAGGGAGAACCCAGACAAGGGGCAGCACCTGCTCCCACGCCAGGGCTCCACCGTGTCCCCACTACTGCCTCCCACAGACGCTGAACGGTCCTTACAGTGTCTCTGCCACACCTTCTAAAAGACAGCTCTGGCCGGCGCTGCGGCTCACTAAGCTAATCCTCCACCTTGTGGCGCCGGCACACCGGGTTCTAGTCCTGGTCGGGGTGCCAGATTCTGTCCCAGTTGCCCCTCTTCCAGGCCAGCTCTCTGCTGTGGCCAGGGAGTGCAGTGGAGGATGGCCCAAGTCCTTGGGCCCTGCACCCCATGGGAGACCAGGAGAAGCACCTGGCTCCTGCCATCGGATCAGCGCAGTGCGCCGGCCGCAGCGCCCTGGCCGCAGTGGCCATGGGAGGGTGAACCAATGGCAAAGGAAGACCTTTCTCTCTCTCTCTCTCTCTCTCTCTGTCCACTCTGCCTATCCAAAAAAAAAAAAAAAAAAAAAAAAAAAAAAAAACAAAAAAAAAAAAAACTCTGTCAACAGATCCAAATGGGCCTATTTCTTTAACAAATAGTTTTATTTATTTATTTAAGAGGCAGAGATATCTTCCATCCGCTGGTTCATTCCCTATATGGCTGCAATGGCCAAGGCTGGGCCAGACCGAAGCCAAGAGCAAAGAGCTTCATCTGGGTCTTCCACGTGGGTGCAGGGGCCCAACCACTTAGACCATCTTCTCCTGCTTCCCGAGGTGCATCAGCAGGGAGCTGATGAGAAGTGGAGCAGCCAGAACATGAACTGGAGCTGCCCGCCCCTCAAACAGGACTCTTAACCCATTGTTCAGAGTTGGCATGGAAGGGGCTCCTCTAAGAAAGCCGACACATGCTGGTGTCCCGAAATGATCTGTGTGCGAGTGGCCTGGGATGAACTGCCTTAAATCATTGATCTCACGGTAGCCTGTGGTTTGGGGCAGCCCTCTGCCAGCAATCTTGTGAAGCTTCCTTCACAGTACAGAAAATAAACAGAATGCTGTGGCGGGCAATGCATTCTCAGTGGACCACAGTGTATCGAAAGTGGGGACAGGAATGGTGGCACACTTCCGCAGAACAGCAAACTGATGGAGCAGTGCTCACCCGGAAGGATCCCTAATTTAGAAGAAGGAAGAACATGAGGGTGAGAAGAAGGATGTGTAAGTGTGTGTGTGTGGGGGTGTGTGTGTAAGGAAACAGCACAAATTCCTGTTGGAGACCTCAATCACACACTGGGACTCTCCCAGCTGCAGGTTGGTGTGTCTTGGGTGTTTCCCCTGAAGAGTCTGTGTGGTCCTAACACCACCAGGCAATGTTCCAGAGCCCTGGGGGAGAGGCGTATTTCATTAGAGGAGTTTGTGACTGGGTATGGCTGTGCACCATTTGTTGCTGTAGGGTTGCAACTTACTGAGACCGATACAAGAGAATGTCTGACTCTTCTAAGGTGGAGGGAGTCTCTGGGACAGTGGGCTGGAAGGTTTTATAAGTAGCCACTGTAATTTCTTGCTTTGAAAAATCAGGGCAACGGGTGAGGCATGAGACCTTGAATCACTCCTCACCACGCACCCACTAAGTCTCTCAGTGATGCAACGGGAAAAGACACCTGGGGAAAGAAGCTGCCTTTTTGGCTTGAGACTTTGTGTAGTTGGACAATTTTTGTTTTTCAGGAATGGCTGCTCTGCTCCCTTGATTACTCCAACTCTATTAAACTCCCAGTCATCCTCAGTTCCCCTCTTCCTCTCACCGTGTTGCTATGTAGCAGCTGGGAGAGGAGACAAGGGGGCAGAACTCTCAGTTGCATGTAGATAAACTCAGGGTGGAAGATTTGTGGCTGAGCAAGGCCATCACTTTGAATTCCTTGGTAGGTCCGATATAAGTGAATGTGAACCAAAAAGCGAGGGATCAGAGTCAGGGTAAAAAGGCGCTTGAAAGCATTCCTATCAATCAAACAGATAAGGAACCAGGACTCCCCCAGGCATACCTTACACAGCCTCAGTCCGAAGCATCCTCCTCCTCATTCCCACAGTTTCTTTTCTGGAAGAGCCCCAGCTTGCTTTGCCCTCTCCCTGCCTGGACTCAGGCAGCACATGGTTGCCTTTATGCGGAGTTGTCACTTCCCAGGCACCCTGAAGGGCCTTCATGGCAGACGCCAGGTCCTACACATCTTTATTTCTCCAAGTCCTCGGTGCAATTCCGGGGCACCTAGTACACCCTCTTACTGAATGATGGTTGGCTGAGGAGTTGGTGAGTTGGCTAATGGCGACTGCCCTTTGAAAAGCCATGCAATTGAGCCAGCCCTTTCTGAGTGTCTATCATGAAACACATGAACGCCTACATTTCAGATCACCCCCTCTTCATGTTCAGAAATGCCTTCTGAGTTGTCACTAAAGTGGTAAGCCAGAGAGTGTGAACCCTGCCAACCAGAATGCGAAACAAGGCAGCCTTTTATCTGTTAGAACAAGGTAGCAGTGATGCAGAGGCGCTCACAGTGTCCAGCCCACCTCAGAGAACTTGAAAGCAGGTTGGGTGGTCCCACCTGACCTGATGCGGATTTGAAATTCAGCATTTGGGCTTTGGAGTCAGGCCAGTCTGAGACTGAATCCACACAAAGGTCCCCGAAGGAGGCAGGGTCATGTGAGCACAAAGGTTGAAAGTGGAAGCTGCGTGGGCGGCGAGATCCATTCCTGACCTGGATTCTCCCAGAAACACGGCCCGTTCCCCTCTCCCCGGCCTGCCTTCCCCTCCAAACACACCCATCCACTGGGAGAGAGTCCCGGAAGGTCCTCTCCATGTTTTTCCCCATTAAAAGGAAAAAGCTAAAAACAATCTGCTGTGGCCCTGGTCCCTTTCTCCTGCCGTCTGCTGCCCTCCACTGTCACCTCCCCAGCTGGTTCACCAGCCTGTGGGGGCAGCTTCCGCTTCTCTGCCTTGAGCCTCTCGCTCTACTTTCTCCCTCCTGTCCCTCTGGAGGGTCCCTTCACCTTTGCTTTCCAAGCACTAGCGGATGCAGTGAGAGGACTACACTCCCTCCTGCCAGCATCCTGGGGTTTGCCTACTGAACTCAGCAGAAAAGGCAAGTGGCCTGCAAATGGCTAAGAGGCTCTCAGCAGAGACAGCTGTTAATCAAACACAGATATCAAGAATCTGAGCAAGAAGACTCAAGAAAATTGCCATCAAAGTAAATTACTTTTTGTACAAATGTTCCCTTTATTCGGGTTTTCCCCTGTGTGCCTTTCTTTTCTTAAGACTTGGTGAACAGATGCGCTTTGGAAAATGTTGATTAACTTATGCTTCTCTCCACCCCGGCCCACTCACCCAAACTCCTGGGAGCCGTGATTATACAAAAAGCCATGTCAAGCCGCTACAGTGTGCTTCTTCACCTTAAGTAGCCTTTGACTCTCCAGGTGCAGAACTCTCAGCTGCATCTGGGTGACTGATTTCACAGAAGCTTAGAAATGGGCCACTTCTGGGGAAGTCATCTGGTCCAGTCCTCTGCCTCCAGAGGCAAGAAACCTTGACCTCCTGGGATGAAATGTTCTCACAGTCATTGTCATCCTATTACCCTTATTCCTTTAAGATCAGCGTCACATTCACCCCTTTCTAGCCCATGATGAGTAGTGTCCCAAGCCTTCTTCTCTGAGGATATGAGATAG